TTGAAATAATAATATTTTTTATTAAACTTTTGTGATAAATTTATATATTATTTTTTTGTGACAATTTTTGTTAAAATATTTGTGTTATAATTAAATAAATATCTTTTTATTTAATATCAATTTTAATAATTAATGACTAAATTTTACATCATAATTGCATTTGTGACAAATATTTTTTTGTGACGAATAAAATTGTTATAAATAACTTGTTAACAATGTCAATTTTTTCTATCACTATAAAATTATTTTCTGTGACAGGTGCCTAATTTATCACTAAAAGCATTAGTGACAATGATTTTATTAACGGTTTAAATTTTATCACTAATAATAATTTGTGATGAAAAATAAAGATTTAATAATCAATAATTTAGTCACTAAATGTAAATTTTCTTGTAGTGCCAGAGAATGTTTATGACTCCATCTTTAGCATAACAATAGAGGATAACTCTTTTATTTATCAAATTTTTATGCCTTCATTACAAAATTAGACCTTAAACCATTGTTTTAAAAATTGGACCAGACCAACTGATTAAATTGGTCCAACTACCACTCAGTAGCTAAAACAGGTCGGTTGGACACCCAGACTCATTTGGATGATAAAGCCATCCAAACCTGGCAAAACTATGCAAACCATTCAACTCGACAAACCCAATAAACTTGCCAAGCCAATTTCTCTACTCTACAATTTCATTTTTTTTCCTTTGTACCCTTTTTTTTTTGTTGTGTTATCCCTTTTGCCCTTTTACCCATTACAATGTCATGGTTAACCAAAAAAAAAAAAATCTAAAGACAAATTGGCAAAATTGGAAACCCTAACCTAAAGGCTTCAACAATTTGACTTCGACTCTTCCTTTCCACTTCTCCAGCCTCCATCACTTTTTCTCCAGACAAATTGGCAAAGAAGAAACCTAAAAGAATGCTTCTCTAGCTTCTTTGTTCATCAATTCTTGCTACCACATGGGAGATCATCCTTGAACACATCACCTTCGCCATGCCTTCATCCATTAGCCTTCACCGCATCACCTCCACTGTGCCTTCATCTACCAACCTTCATCATCCATTTGAGTTTGTTGCTAGCGATGGTTCTTCTCCTCAATGACTCAAGCTTGTGTTGTTCAGGCAAGCAAAACCATGATTTCAGCAAAAATCTCCCAAGCTTCGACTCTTCCTCTCCACTTCTTCAGCTTTCACAATGTTAGTTCTCCTTCTCCTTCTACTTTATTTTTCATGATCAAATTTCTCAAGTTAATGGTTGTTTTATTAATAAATGTTTGATCTTTTCTATTCTTGCTTCCCTCTAGCTCTCGACAATGTGTTATAGGTCTAATTCCAATGGTCCTACATCTTTTAGTCTAGTTGTATGAAACAATAGCAGAGGTCTTGACTTTTGAGGCATGAAATGATCTGATTATATTCAAATGCATGGAGTGAGAATATTTTAGAATGCAGAGTAGAATGAGTGAATATATATATATATATTGCATTTTGTATTAATTCTTTGGCCATTAGTGACAAGTAAACAATTGCTAAATTCCTTCATATTTTGTAAAATCCAGTTGGTACTTGGTAGTTTTCGTTTAGTGGTGACTATAAAAACAAGTTTTAGTAATTGTTACATGTCTTATTCTAACTTGTCAATTATTATAATTGTTTTTTAATTGAATGGTGATTTAAAATTGAATTCTATTTTGTTTTGAGCTACTTTAATGATATTCTTTTATTTTGTTGTAGAATTGCAAAAAATATCATCCTCTACATAGAATTCAACTACTGCACCTCCCCATCTTCAAGAGCTAAAACAAATGCAATATAGAAGCATTGTGTTGAAGTTATAGAAGGCACAAAAAAATCAATTAAATGTTTGGATTGCCAAAAGAAATTCAGAGGAGGAGGCGGCGTTAATAGAATGAAACACCACCTTGTTGGATAGGGAGAAAATGTCAAAAAGTGTGATAAGGTGCCATTTAATGTTTGATATCAGATGTAATAGAGTTTAAAGGAAATTGAAGAAAGTAGAAAGCAAGCACAAAATCTATGGGAAGATAATCAATTTGGACATTCTAATGGAGATGCATCAGACTTGCAAGAGATCTTGAATCCTTCTTCAACTCCACAATCTCAAGTTAAAGGGAAGGGGTTAGAAATTTTAGCAAATAAGGGTAGAACAAGAAAAGTAAGTGAGTTACAAAATTACTTTATCCCAAGGACCACTTTTGGAGCTCAACCATTAATTAGAAGTGCATTGGCAAGTAAAGATGTTGCCCATAATGTAGATTTGGCTATTGTTAGATTCTTTTTTCTTTTTTTTTTTTAGTTGTTTGCCTGTAAATGCTATCAAATCTCCTTACTTTTAGTCTATACTTGATGCTAGTGTTGCGATTGGTTCTAATTACAAGGCACCAAGTTACCATGTTACCATGTCATGAGATGTAATCTACTGCATGATTTAAAAAAAGAGGTCCAATTGTTGGTTAATTTTTATAAGAATATTTGGGCAAAAGTTGGTTGCACTATTATGGGTGATAGTTGCCAAGATAAAAAAAAAAAAAGAAGAAGCAATTAATTAATTTTCTTGTCTATTGTTCTAGAGGAATTACCTTTATGAAATTTATTAATACCTCTAATGTAGTTAAAAATGTTACCATGCTTTGTCATTTGTTTAGGGAACTGGTTGAGTTTGTGGGTCCTAGTAATGTTGTGCATTAAGTAACTAATAATGTAGTCAATTATAAAAAGACTAGGAGATTGCTAAATGACATATATCTTACAATCATCTTTTGTTGTTAGCTTGGCTATAAAAAAGGGAAGGATGGACAAAAATCATACGTCCTAGGACAACAAGTTTTGTAACAACATTCATTGCATTGAAGAGCATTCATAAGCATAGCATGATTTACAAGTTTGGTAACTACTTTGGAATTTAAAGAGTTTAGATGCTACAAGGATCATAAGGCAAAAAATGTTGTGGCTATTGTTCAAGATAAGAAATTTTGAAATAATTGTGAACTTGTGAAAATTGTGGGATCACTTATTCGCTTACTTAGAATTGTAGATGGTGACGAGAGGTCTTCACTTGGATATGTCTACAAGGACATGTATAGGGTTAGAAAGGCAATTAAGACTATATCGATGAATGGAAAACCTTTGTACAAGCCTTATACAAGAATTATTAAAGAAATGTGGGATAGATAACTCTGTCAAAATCTCCATGCTACTGGCTATTACTTAAATCTTGCTTTTTACATGATAAAGAGAAATTTTCAACCAAAAAAAAAAAGTCATAAAAGGTTTTATAGACGTTGTGGATGCAAAAATGCCATCTCAGAGGTCTAATTTTTGAATGAGTATTAGTTGTATGATAAAAAAAATAGAAAGTTTTGCCCGTAAAAGTGCTCGAATCATCAAAAACTATGAAATTTGTTAAGATTTCAACTTGTTAAGAGAAAAAAAAAAAGAGAGAGAAGATTATAGCACTTTTGTTTATTTTTTTACAATATTTAACTTTTTAACACTTACATACTTTTTTCTTTTTGTTTTTTTTATCATAAATGAGTGGTGGAAATATTTTGGATATAGTGCTCCTAATCTTAAAAAATTGACAATTCAACTCTTGAGTCAAAAATTATCTTTTTTGGAGTGTGAAAGAAGTTGAAATGTATTTAAAAAGAATGCACACCAAGAAGAGAAATAGATTGGAACACCAAAAGTTGAATGATTTTGTCTATGTGCATTATAATTTGCATTTGAAATATAGCTACTTTATCTAATCCATATAATAATTGTACTTTATTCATAAAGTTTCATTTCTTATTATTTATATATTCTTCTAATTTTCATTTTTTATGAAACTTCTATTTTTATCTTGAATAATAGAAATGATAACAAAAGAAAAGCTTGTTTTGATCCTATTAATTACAAAAGTATAGACAATGTTGATGAATGGATTATGGAAGAAGATGATTCTTTAATTCTTGATTGCAATGAATTAGAGAATATAATTTATAATGATAAAATAATGCCAATATGTCATACAACTCAAAAAGAATGTTAGTAACTAATTAAAACTTTAAAAATGGTGTTTTGATTTTAAATTTATTGTATTATTTTGTCATTCTATGAATTATCTTATTGATTATGCGAGTTAAATTCCAATTATAATTTATTTTATTGATTTTTATTTATTACATATTCATTTTTCTACTTTTGAGGTGGCACATATGATATTGATAAAGAAGTGCAAGGTGGTGAAGGAGGATTATTCTATATTGGCAGTGCAAGTGAAGAAATTGACTTGGAGTCAATTGGTAGAGAAAATGACGATAGCTATGATTGGGAGAATGGTTTTCGTGAACATGATGCTCAATTTAATGAAGATCCTTCTCATCGAGGGGAAAAACAATGAACTAATTCAACTTATACATCATTGGCATATTGGATTGAATTTTGAGACTTGTTTTTCATATATATCTACATGTGTGTGAGACTTGTTAATTCGAGACTTGTATGGCATCTATCTATTTAGTTTTAAAACTTATTTTTTTTTTTTATATATTTGACTTTGAGACTTGTTTTTGATATTATCATGTGAATTTACATATCTTTCAAGCTAAGTTTATACTGAAAATTGTTGTATAAGGCTGGAAATTGCAAGAAAAAAAATGTGAAATACAGCAAAAAGATGCCAGAATTGCCAAAAATGCCTTCATTTTTATTTGAACCGGGTCGGTCAGTTAATTTAATTCAACCGATCAGACCATCCAAACCAAAACCTATGAGCAAAATGGTTCTATCACTGGTTCGGGTTTCAAAACACTGCCTCGGACTGTATCAAAACATTAGCTGTCCTGGGATATTGTTCCACAGCCGTATCTGGATGGGCATCTAAATGTATTTGCATCAAAATGGTCCATTTTATCAGCAAGAGAGAACAGATCCTCAGGACTGAGTCTCCATCCGTCCACAATAATTTTCTGCAATACTTTGCCATTCCTACCTTTAATATTTGGTTACATCGCACTCCCGATAACATCTTCCTATTTACATAATACTCTTTTTGTCCTCACCTCCCCACTTGTCTTTGTATATATATAATACCTGCACAGCTTAACTCCTCACATATATCAGAAAACCACAACCCTACGTAGATCCCTCGAGAGTTGAGGTAGCTGCAACGCCAACCAATTGTAGTCCAGAACAAGAGCAGGACTCCGGGCATACTGAAGCTTCTGTCAGTTATAACAGCTGGTGAGTTTTGTTTATATATGGTGGCCTCCTATAAAAAATGCATTCCGTACCTACTTCAACCATCCATGAACATTATTTTCGTTTCAAAGCTTAACCACTCTATAATCAAAGTTTGTGCATTTACACGGAAAAGAATCATATCTTGTTAAGATTCTTGTACTGATTTAAGTATTTAACTGAGCTAAACTACGTTTCCGTGTTTGAAATTCAGTTTCACACCAACCGCTCTGAAGTTCTTTCTTTGTTGTTTTATGGGTTTTAAAGGGGCTTTCTTGGTTCCTTTCTTTGATTCATAATTTTAAAAGTTCTTTACGATTTGGTCATGACTCATGCATCCTAAATTATTATCTCCAGATTCTCCACAGCACATGCAGCCTCAGTATCCAAAAAGTCTTTCCCTGATTATAACATCTAGAAATATTAATATAGAGAACAGACAATCCTCACTTAAGTTTGCAGGAACTATTTTTTTTTTAAAATTTTTTCACTCTGTTTTCTTCCTGGACGGTGGGCTATTTCGAAATTATAATAACTGTTTCTACTCTATGATTAATTACAATTAAAAAAAAATTAAAAGTTTGTTTCTTTTCTGACTTTTGCTTATAAGAATCACTAACAGTCTCCATGTTTGAATAACCAAAGGAAACAAAGAACAAAAATCATAGCAAAAAAATCAAAGCAATAATTAGATTATAATGCAAAATTTTGTTTTAGCCAGGTAGAGTGCAAACGGCAGAGCAATATGGAGAACGGAACTAACTCCGTCGCAGACGAGCCTCCGAGCTCCACTAGGAAGATTATCACCGTTGCCTCCATAGCCGCCGGTATCCAGTTCGGGTGGGCTCTGCAACTTTCACTTTTGACCCCTTACGTTCAGACCCTCGGGGTCCCGCACACATGGGCTTCTTTCATATGGCTCTGTGGCCCAATCTCCGGCCTCCTTGTCCAACCAATTGTGGGGTATAACAGTGACCGCTGCACCTCAAGCTTCGGCCGCCGCCGTCCCTTCATCGCCGTCGGTGCACTCTTCGTCATCCTCGCCGTCTTCCTAATTGGATTTGCCAAAGACATTGGCTACCACGCTGGTGATTCTCTGGAAAGGTCCACAAAGCCCAGGGCCGTGGCCATTTTCGTAGTGGGCTTTTGGGTCCTTGATGTGGCCAACAACATGCTCCAAGGCCCATGTCGGGCTCTCCTCGCCGATCTCTCTGCAAACGAGCACACAAAGATGCGGAAGGCGAACGGGTGGTTCTCTTTCTTCATGGCGGTCGGAAACGTCTTAGGCTACGCCGCCGGCTCCTACTCGAAGCTCTACAAAGTCTTCCCCTTCACTAAAACAAAAGCCTGCGATATCTACTGCGCGAATCTCAAATCCTGCTTCTTAATCGACATTATCATCCTCTCGATTGTCACCGTAACCGCCGTCACCACCGTGATAGAGAAACCGTTAACCAAGGAAGCACCAGAGGAGGACGCCAAGACGGCGTCGGCCCCGTTCGTTGGCGAGATCGTGACGGCGTTCAAGACATTGAGAAAACCGATGTGGATCCTGCTCCTGGTGACCTGCCTGAACTGGATCGCGTGGTTCCCGTTCTTTCTCTTCGACACCGACTGGATGGGGACGGAGGTGTACGGCGGGAAAGTGAAAGGAAACCATGCCGAAGCTAGGCTGTACGAAAAAGGAGTGCGCGCGGGTGCATTGGGCTTGCTGATTAACTCCATCGTTTCGGGTTCAACTTCACTGGCGTTGGAGCCCGTGAGCCGCCTGATGCGTGGGGTCACAAACTTATGGGGCCTTGTGAACATCATTTTGTGCTTGTGTTTAGCATCAACGGTTGTGGTTACAAAGATGGCTGAGGCTTGGAGATCTACCCATGGACCTGACCACATCCTACCTCCCCCCACGAACATCATGGGCTCTGCTTTGGCCCTCTTTGGGGTCTTGGGTGTTCCCCTTGCTGTAAGATTCTTACAATTACCTATTTTCTTCGAAAATTAATTAACAAAAACCATTTTACACGCTAAAAATCTCAAAAAAAATGTAAAATATATATATATTTTAATTAGAGACAACAACTTCTGTCGGAAATGAATTTTGCTTGTGACAAGATTTGGGCAACATAATAACTTGGGGTGTTGCTTTATGTAGGTAACATTCAGTATTCCTTTTGCTTTGGCATCGATCTATTGCTCTTCAGCCGGTGGCGGTCAAGGGCTCTCTTTAGGAGTGCTAAATATGTCCATTGTTATTCCACAGGTAAAGAATCCATTATCTTTATATAAATTACTAATAAGCAATACTTTTTGTTTTTAAATGATGTGAGATTGTGCATTTTCTTTATATAGAATGCTAGTAAATTTAATTTTTTATTTTTGGGTGATGTGAGATTTTTTATTTTATAATTTCACTCATGTGATCATGTACTAATACAAAAATAAAAAATTTATCAAATGAAAACAAAAACTAATCAAATTAAATATAAAAATCAATTTTAAATTATAGTCAATAAAAGTAAAAAATAATATATTGTATGTTTATATTCAAGTTTTTTTTTCTTAACAACAAGAAATTTTCTTTATTTGTTAGAATATAAGGGGTATTTCTCCCCATAAATCATCATAAACATTATCTTAACATAAATTAAATGTCAAGTTTCTTTATTTATTGAATGTACTGTTGAAAAGAGTTCAGAACATGGCCAGCCAAAGTCCAATCCAAACCCCACCATTAAAAGCACAAATTCCACACGGTAGTTGCCATAGTACAATGCAAAAAAAAGAAAAAAAAAAAGATGATGTTTGGAATGTAACACCCTTATGTAGGGTTAGTAATAGTACAACAATTCAACATTAATATAATTTTGTTTATAAGGGTTTGAGTATCCTTTACAATCTAATCATTTTGTTGACCAAGATTTGATTCTTTTGGGATGCTAGTGAGAAGATAATTCTTTATAAATTTACTTAATTCTAATGTGAATGACTTAGCTCTTATCAAACTAAAGAGAAATTAATCTTGAGGTAGGCACAAGTTGACTTGAGAACATTCTAACTGCTAAACTAAAAAAAAAAAAAAAATTGTTGTTAAACAAAAAGAAGTCCTTAAGAATGTGTAAAATCTTTAGATTTAGTATAAGTAACGATTAAAAATCTTATGAATAATAGTAATTAAGATATTTGACCAAGCTAGAAGCTTTGATTTTATGGTTTTTGTAGTATTAGAAAAATAGAAAATTATTTGGGAATGTAGTCGTAGGTAGGACCCATCTTTTTGAATTAATTCAGTTGAAAATTTAAATTTTAGTAAATTTTTTTTACTAATTTGTGACTATTATTTTGAAAAAAATTACCATTTTTTATGATTTTTTAGTGACAAATTATATATTTTGTTACAAAATATAATTGCTACGTATAATAAATTTAGTCACAAGCAAAATTTAGCATCTATGACAAAAATTAATAATTTATGACCTCTATTTTATAAGCAACTATATAATAGTTATCTTCTTCTTTTTTTGAACAAATTTGCAAAGGGTCGGATTCGAACTGTTGCTCTGGAGGTGGAAGAATGCACTTATACGTGATCTGATGACACTGAGCCCGAAGGCCCAAGTACATATAATAGTTATCTTATTATAACAATTTTGACAATTATAGATTTAGATAATTTATTGTGACGAATATTTTGTAACTAAATATAATTTTTGTATCAAAATTGTATATTATAATTTTAAAAATTAATTTTATTGACTATTATAGAAAATTAGTCACAAATATAAAAATATTAGTGATCTACTAAAAATTAATCACTATTTTTCATCAAAAAAATCTTTTTTTATAGTGATCAAAGATTTAATATTTGATATCACTGTATATATGTGTGTGTGCATGCATAATATGCACCTGAAGTGTGAATGTATTTCGTTTAATTAATTTGTGCTATGTGTATACTAGATGTTCGTTTCAGTAATTAGTGGACCGTTGGATGGTGCATTTGGGGGTGGAAACTTGCCAGCCTTCGTGTTGGGCTCGATTGCTGCAGCGTTAAGTGCCTTGATGGCGATTTTTGTTCTTCCAAAACCGCCTAAGCAAGTCTCTCTTGGTCCTGGAATGGGTGGTGGGCACTGAGAGCCAAAGGCTCTGTCTCCTCTTACTTCCCTTGATGATGCATGGATGCCTTTAACCTTCCATTGAACTTTCAAAACCATTTAATGTCTTTAATTTTCAACTCTTCAGCTTTTGGTTTTCCCCCGTAAGGTTGAACTTGAATGCATTTATCTGCATTCTCTTTCATATGTCACTGTATATTGGAAACACTATTGTACATCAATAATGCAAGTCTTTCCCTTCTTTTGATACGTGCAAGTCTTAATTTCTTAAGGATATCTCAATATTGTTAATATTAAAATTTTCAAAATTTTCTTCTTTTAGGCCTCTAAAATATCCAAATTGGTCAAGAAGAAACAACGAAATTTGGGGTCTTAAATTTACATTTAATATTCTAATTAGAAAATGGAAGTTTATTGTGGTAATTTAAACTAAAGAATATCAATATATAACAGTAAAATATATAAAAATAATAATAAAAAAATTTAACTTTTTATTCTCTTGTTTATTTTTAAATTAGAAAATGGAAGTTTATTGTGGTAATTTAAA